TATTTGGGGGGGGTGGGGTGGAAAAGAATTGTATTAAGATTACTGAATTAGTGTTTGCTATGCATGTATGTCTCTGTATCTCTCTGTATGACATATGGCATTAAGCAGTCTACAAAATAATGTCATCAGAACTATGCTGAAACATAACAGCTGGCAAATAGCCAACCTCTTTTTTTTTTCCATTGTTATATCTATCTATATATATAGAATATATATGGAATCTGTATATATATATAGAACCTGAAGGCTTCTTGATATAGTTAATCTCTAAATATGTTATCTATTTGTTGTGAAGGGGCTATTTAAGCTATTCTAAATCTAGGCTTTCTTAAAGCTGTTTAAAATACTTTGAGTTCTTAACCATTTCTGTTTTCTATAAGTAGGAATGTTTCTTGTTTAATGTAACACCATTGTTACACTTTTCATCTGGGGTTGGGTGGAGTTATTCTGAATGCTTTTTTTCATCCATGTGATGAATGCATTTGTTTTCTTCCTGTTTAAGAAAGTGGTGTGCACGGGGAAAAAAGCAAATGCCTTTAATTCTTTACATCACAGTATGATTAAGCAGATGAATTACATTTACAGATCTAATTACACTTGCAATGTATCTTCCTTAGATCTCAAAGCTTTTGAAAGAAGGCTAACTGAATACATTGCGTGTTTGCAACCAGCTACAGGACGTTGGAGAAGTAAGTTTGATGTTCCAAGAGATACATTGGATTCTCTTTTATATGCTTTTTAGATTTACTGGTGTGAAGCTTTGATTTATGCTTGCCCAAACAACAATCTCTACTTAATGATCTTTTTACAGTTTCTGTGGTATGCATGCACTTACATGCTCTGCTGCAGGGCAGTAATGTGTTCACCTCAAGTTAAAGTGTAATACTTGCCTGGTTGTTATTCAGAAGCAATGTCCTGGGTTCCATTGAGCATTCCCACCACTGTTGAACTCAAACTTAACAAATAAAAAACTGTATGAATTAAAGGAATGAGTTTGTATCTGGTATGCAGAATGGCTTGGGTGGTTGTCTAGTATATATGTTTTTAAAGCCAACACTGCCAGATGTCATTAGAATGAGCTCAAGGCTGAGTTATTCTTCAGAGATGGGATATTAATGTGTTAAAGGTTTTTTTCTGTTTTGTTTTTGCTTGTTGCTGGGCTGCTTTTTGTTGCTCTGCTTTTTTGCTTGTTTCTGAAAGCTCTTATTGCCCAGCCAGACACTTCAGGTTCTGGAATCAAACAAGGCTAGGTTAGATAGTCCTTCAAAGGGTGAAGAAATTGTAGCAGTGGGTCCTGAAGAAGAATGAATTAAGAGCAGAATATATTTCCATCTGTTCTAATGGGAAAGCTTGAAGTGGCAGAGGAGGGAAGCAGAATGCACCCTACGTGTGCTGCCAATTTTCAGATCTGCTTTTTGCTTCAAAGATTCTGCTGAGGTTTCCAAACTCAGAAACTATTTTGTTAGTTTTGTAATTCATATATAAGAGGGACTTTTTACTGTATGATGAGGGTATTTATCTCAGTGCTATGTTTTTTTTTTTCTCCTTTTACCCCAGAAGAGAAGTACTCATAGAGAAAAGAAGTATATGCTTTAGGTAGATCTTTTCCAACCTTCTTTTAAAAATTAACTTGTTACTGTTTTTGTGTTGTTTTGTGTTTTAACTTTTTATTATCAGTATGGAATGTGCAAGGTTGTGTCCAGGTTGTGTCTTTGTGTGTTGTTTTTTGTTCTCTTTGTTTTTTTTAATCATGGTAAATGTCTGTTTGCAGCCATCCGAGCATTACATTCAACAAAAAATACTCAGATCTGCAAGGCTGCCAGTGAAAGCCTCTGAGCTTTATGAATGTGCAATTGAACACAAGCTTTCTCTCTTTGGTTCCTTTTTTCATCACCTGCTGCTCTCCAGCCCTTTATAGTCTCTCAAAGTCAAGCTAGTGTCTTGCTATAGTTTGTGTTTAGCCTTTTTCATTTACAGTGAGTTGATCATTCTTCTGAAGTCATTCTGTATTTGTTTTGTTTCCTGGCTCCTGTTCCAGTTTGTTGGTTCTTTTATTTCTTTTTTTTTCCTTCTGTGTCCGCTTTCCTTGCTAAGTGTGTTGGTTGAGGTTGGAGGGGAGTATAATACAGCTTAGCTGTGCCACTGAAACTGTTGATGCTAATTCTTCAGGCTTTTTCCTACATAGAGGAGCTAGCAGGATGGAAGCTGAATACTGAATAGTTGGGACAACTCTTAACTGCAGTCTTCCAGCTCCTAGTTTTTCTAGCTGTGTTGTTTTAGAAAGTGTTGTTTCTTCAAAGCACTGAAATGCTTTTACTTGAAAGAAATTAGGTTTCTGTACCTATACAGGAAACCTGTACGGAGTGTCTACTGTTAAAAACAGTAGAAGTTTGTTTACATATCTTCATTTCTACTTTCCAAGGAGAGGTTTTTCCTCCCTCAAACATGGGAGAAGAAATAAGTGTGTAAGAGCCTCTGTTGGGGGAAAAAAAAAAAAAATGCTGCTTTTGATAGGAGTAAAATGTGATACTCATATTCTTGTTCTTTCTTTTATCAGTGATTCTGATAGTGGTATCAGTCTGCACAGCAACCGGTGCTTGGAACTGGTTAATAGACCCAGAGACACAAAAGGTAAAGGTTGTGCTAGTCCTGTATGCAGTCTGCCCCATAGCCTGGCGTGGCAGTTAAGTGCTGTAGTATCTTGAAAGTCAAAAGGATTGTTCTCCAAAGGGTCTTACAGACCACTTGTGCTCTCAAAGCGTCTGCGCTCCTTCTGTACTGTGTCCCCGCACAATGGCAAAATACTGCCTCGTAAGGTGTGTCTAAAGAATTGTCCACTAAGAGCAGTAGTTTTTTAATTTGGTGAACTGGACAGCAGCTTTCTGTCTGTGTGTAGCAAGCATATGCTAAAACTAATGACATTTATTTCCTAGGTGTCGTTTTTCACATCACTTTGGAATCACCCGTTTTTCACAATTAGCTGTATTACTCTAATAGGGTTGTTCTTTGCTGGAATACATAAAAGAGTGGTGGCACCATCAATGTATCCTTTGATTGTGTTTTTTCAAGTGAGGACTTCAGTCATTAGTTAGTGTATTGGTGTATGCTACTGCTGTGTCCTCAGTGAGCTGTTAGTGTACAAATGCTGGCTGCTTTCCTTGACACGGTGCACACAGTATAGCAGCTCGATGTCGAACTGTTTTGGCAGAATATAACATGTCCTGTGATGATGTAAGTGTTAGTGGTTCATTCTCTACACATTTTTTTTTTTTTCAAGATGCAAATATTTCAGAAATAAATGTGAAGTATTGTATTTTTCTGAGCAGCACTTATATACACCTTATGAGATGGTGTGGATGCATGCAAAAGTGGAATATAGGATACTTAGCGTTGTTTCATTTGTCGTTTTGAACTTACCCTGTGACACTGAAGTGCAGTTAGGCTCAGCGTTCAAGGTCTTAACTGTTTCATTGTTTTCTGTCTTGCAGACTGGAAAATTAATTTTGAAACCTAGGCCTCATGTTCAATAAGGGCTGTCTTCCTTCAGTTTTTTCCACTGCCATGGAAACCAAAAATGACTTTTTTAAGGTAGTATGACAGCAAAAAAAAAACCCACCACCACCAAACAGGACTGGTTGTCACTGCCTAGTAATGAAAGTCTTATACAGTTGACAGTGACAGTGTGCAATATTACTTTCTTGACTATTTATCCAAATTCTTTGTTATCATATCAGTGCTTTTGCTACTTCTGATTACCTCTTTTCAGTATTAATGTCATTTTTCACTTCAGCTAGAAGAGAACATCCAGGCAAAGTATGTGAATTGGTTATGGAGTTGAACTTGAAAACCAAACCTCATTTGTGTTGTGTATTTGAAGCTGTTGTAAATAGCAGAGTAACACCAATGTTCAGGACAAAAACAATTGCTGTTTGAATTTTGTTGTCTCATGAACAGTATTGAAAAGAACACATGCCATTCCCGGGATGTTTTATTAGCACACTTACTCATTACAGCTGTCCTCATCTGGTCGCTGTTTCTGGAACTGGTTAAGAGGCTTGCAGAAATACTGTCTGTGCTGGAGAGAACTGGTCTTAATATTTAAGAACTTTGCAGCTATGTTGAGGATCGCGTTTGTCAAATTGCGTGTGTATATATGTACAGTGCACCAGCCACTTTCCTTGTGCTCACCTGTAGCTCACTGATCTGGTTCACAGCACTGCTATTTTAAGAAGACTTTAATATTTTAAACATTGTCTTAAATACGCTTGCATCTTCCTGATTGTAAGACTGTACTGTATCTTGGTTCACAAGACCACACTGAGTGGATTTTAGGCTGTGATTAGTCTGAATATGAAACTAGGATTGCAAATGTGTAACTCCAGATTTGCTGAAGAAAACAAACAGTGCCACAATACAATAACAACGTGTTATTCCAAGTGTTAAAAACAGGCTGTGGATGTTACCTGCATAACTTTTTGGATAGCTCAACTGGCAAAGAATTTTAAGAGCTGAAGTTGTTTCAGGTGCCTTTTAAATTCCCAAGCTCTCAGTTGACTAAAACTGCACAGCTGCTGCAGCTTCTGTAGACCTACCTGCGGGCTGGGCTGGGTTGAGGCAGCCTATGGACAGACTGACCGTTAGGGCATCAGCATCGGTCCTCTGCGATCCTTCTGGCAGTTCTTCCGCCCGTCCATCGTTTTTAACCGTTGTATATTTTGTAGGTAAATGTGTATAAAATAAACACTTTGTATAAACGGACGTTATCTTCTTTGTACCGCGCAAGCGCAGATCGGGAGAGAACGGGGAGCAGCACGAATCCCGGCTGCCGTCCGTTGCCGCCCTGCTGCCGGGCGGACCGTTTCGGTCGGCACCCGACGCGTTCCAGGCCGCGAGTCCGGTCGCTCCTGGGCCGCGTGCCGCTGCGGCGCGGCTCCGCATCGGAGGCGGCTCCTTATCGGAGGCGGCTCCCGGGCGGCGCTGCGCCTGCGCCGCGTCTCACACGTGGGTGCGCCGGCGCCGAGCGGCGCGGTGCCGCGGAGCCATGGGCAAGAGCCGCGCGCGGCGGTTCCGGAGGGTCCCCTTCTCCCCGACCGGCCCCGAGCGGCGCCACGAGGAGGAGGGCGGCCCTGAGGAGGAGCCGGCGGCGGAGCTGCTGCAGAAGGTGCGGGCGGGAGCGGGGGGAGGGCCCGGGCCGGAGGGGCGGCGGAGGCCGCGCTGGGGCTGTGGAGCGGGGGGCGGTGGGAACAGGGAGAAAGGGAGGCGAGGGCTCGGCGCTGCCCGCCGCCGTCCGGCTGACGGCCCGGAGCCTCCCGAGTGCCCGGGGCTGGGCCGCCCTCCGCCGCCGCCCGCTCCCGGCCCTGTCCCGCACGCGGCACGGGAAGGCGGCCCGGCCCTGCCGGTGCTCCGCGCCCTGCCCTGTGCGCGACTGCTGTCTGTCTGTCTGTCTGCCCGGCCGGCGTGCTGCGGGCATCGAGACGCGGTGCTGGGTGTGGCTGGGGTCAGCCGATCGTGCACCACTTGTTAGTTTGGGATTTAAGCGTTCCATATAGAAAGCATAGTTGGAACCTTCTTATGTGGGTTGGTCTAGTGTTGGAAGTAAAAGCCCTTTTTCTTTTGGGTGAATAAGTCCCTTTGTTTACTTCACTCAAGCGACATAGTGCTGCTTGATTATTTCTCTGGACTGACCTATCCACTATTCTAAAAAAGTACCCCGATACACCCATGCCAGGGTGAGAGAGCTGAGAGATCCAATTGGTTTTCCTGAGGGAATGCACAGCTTTTCCACGCTGCTGTTTGGCAGGTGTTATCTTCTCTGTTGCATCTCAGCCATCGCTGTGCCCTTTGCTGCTGCTCTGTCATTCCATGGAGTGCAGCCCTGACACCCACCTGGCAGCAGGGCTGTGAGCACTGAGCAGGACTGCTCCAGTTGTCCCAAGGCAGATATCTCTGGCGTAATGCACATGTGCAGCTTTGGCTTCTTCAACTTTTCTTCGTGATGTCATTTTTTATGGCATTGTTTCCCCCCCACACTTCTGTATGTGTTTTTAGCAACGTAAGTCAGAGGTCCTACTGGTGCCAGCTGGCATCAAGTCTGTGCCTGAGCCAGTGCCTTCTCATTACACACCTGGAACAGGGTTTGTCTGCTCTTAGAGATGACCTCATAGCTCAGGCAGAGATTTATAAACTTGCTCAGGAGCTGAAGGCCCTCGATTCACCTCAGAACTGTGATCTGGAGCCAAAAGGCCACATCCACACGATACAGACCAGCTGTGTGCCCGCTCCCTTGACTCTGTGTCTCTGCAGCTGCAGCACCCCAGCGCCGAGGTGAGGGAGTACGCCTGTGCCAGCATCTCACGGCTGCTGCAGCAGCAGCACGTCATCCCGGCCTTCCTGCAGAGGGACGTCGTCCGCTGCCTGGGCCCCATGCTGCTGGACCGCAGCTTGGCTGTGCGTGAGACGGCGGCGGGTGCCCTCCGGTAAGCTCCGGTCTGCGTTTGGCACTACAGTGAGGGACTACTGGTGTGGTAAAAAATATATATTATTAAACGCTTCTAGAAAGTCTATCTGATCCAAACAAATTTATTTTTCCTAGAAATCTGAGTGCTTGTGGAGGATTTGAAGTTTGTGATGACATGGTGACCCAGGACGTCATGACACCCCTTGTGGCACTTCTCAAAGAGGTGTGTTTATTCTTAGTCTGTTTTTAAACTGATCTGGCCCTTTACATATCTTTCATTCCAAAGCAGTTCCATTTTTTGTAGCATTTTTAAGATAGATATTTGTAAGAAGTTTTTAGAAGAGTGTTTCAGATCTAATAGCCTCTCCTTATCTTTAGGAGTATTAACTGCTGTACGTTTTGAGTATCTCCCACGTGATACAGAATATATTGCTTTTTCGTCATTAGGATTTGTTAGTAAACCTACAGTACTACAACTCTTGATATATGTAAATCTAAAACACTACAAAATTATGTGCTTCCTGAGCTGGCAGTTTGGGTCCATGGTAAGGTGTGTTGCCTGGGTTGGTATTTTCTTAAGCAGGCTGGAGATTTGGGGTCAGGAATGTCATTTCAGAGTAGCCTGTTCGGTCTGTCAGGATATTTTGCACATATTTATTATAGTGAGGTTTCTTGGTGAACAGTTTGTCTTAATGAAAGCTGAGATTAGAGTTGAGTAGTTACTGCTTTTGTAAAGCAGTGTGTACTTAGCACTGGTTTTTGGTCCAGGTTTGCAGTGCAGTTTGGACACTGCATTGGGTTCTGTCAGCTGCTGTCTTTGTATGAGCAACTTTGAGCAATATCATCATTTTCTGTATGTTTTCTGTGTATTTTGAATACCAGTAATAGTATTACTGTAGAGCACAGCAAGATATATAGCTGAATGAGTCTTTGTGATTAGAACTGCTGAAAATTGCGTACAAGCTCTATTAGCAAGAAATGGCATTTCAGGTTCTAAAATTGTTAAGCATTTCTTTATTAAAAAAAAAAAAAAGGTGTTCGTGAAGTCTGAATACAAAGCTACTACTGTAGGAGTCTGTTTCTACAGGAGAAAACAAATCAATCATTCAATCCCGCTGTGACCCAGTTTTCACAGTGAACAGAAAACTGTTCTGGTTTTCTGATATTAAACATTTGATGAGAGATTTCTCAATTCCCTCTGCTTTGAACATTTTAAGTCTTGGCTTTTCTCTTGGCTTGTTTTCAACTCCATTTTACTAATTTGGTTGTAGTGTAGCAATGGACTAGATGCTAACCAGCTCTCCCCGAAGAAACGCAGAGAGATGAGCAAAAATTACGTTGAAGATATAGCCAACGAGGCTATCAACTTGCTGTGGAATGTGTGGTGAGTTCTGCATTAGCACTGGCCTCTTAGAAAAGCTAAATGAAATTGCTGCTGAAAGAGCACGGTGGCTGAGGCAGAAAGGAAGCTGCTGTCCTTGCACGAGCAGCTGTGTTCAGTTGCCCACCTGATTTCTGCCTGCAGCTGCTGCATGTGACATTCGTAGTCGTATGGCAGGTCCACATCTGAAATACAAAAGTAATCCATGATAGAAGATCAACTTGTAAGTGAAGGAATTTAAAAATACATGAAGGTGGTCTTTAGTTTCTTGCATTGATCATCCTCAGTTGGGGTGCTGTTTTCTGAAAGTTCTGTCATAGACTCTGTGAAGACACTCTGTACAGTTTGAGTCGGGTGGTGCTGCGTGCAGCCTTGTCAATGCCTGCTGTAAATACAGGGGGCAGATGTTTGAGCTTTGGTTTGCTTTTCTTACAGCTAACTCCATCTGCAGGTCTTTCCAAAAGTTAGTATTAAGTGTTGGAACAAGCTGCCCCATAGTGACTGAAGCACTAATAGATCTGCATAATTATGTGAGAATATGAGTAGCTCAGTTAGTAATCGGCTTTGGAACCACGAAGTAAATGGAGAGTAAATGCATATTTAAATGAAAATCTCTTCTGAAAGTTCTCTGGGAATTTTGTTTTCTCTTCATTTTGTAACAGCTGCACATCTCTGGTCCATAGAGAATTTTGTTTTGTACATTGCAGTATTGCAAAGGAGTTCCCTGTCTGATTGGATGCTGACTTGAGGCCTTATCTGTAAAGTGTGTTTTTGAGGGGTTGAAAGCAGTGCAGGAACTGCTTGTTCAGCACCTTGCATGAACTATGTGGACAATTTTTAGTGGTTTGTTTTTTTTTTTTTTTTTTTTTTTTATGACAGCTTTTGTAGACACCAGTGCTTTGGAAGAGGAGCTGCAGTCATTAAGTGTGCTCTAAATCCCTTTTGTGTGCATTGAACCCTGTGGCTCTGACCATGAACTGCTGGCATCACTGCTAAGTGTGGTGCTGATCAAACTGGGGCTGGCTTTGATGCCCAGGCAGTATTTTCACAAGTGGATTTCTGAATAGCACTGTAGGTAGTTAGGTCCTGTGCCTCCTTTAGTTAGAATTTGTCTTGTTTAATATTTTAGTTGAAAAATTGAAGTAGCTGTGAAAACTTGAAGAGATATGAATTCCACAGTTGATAACAGGAAGAAACGACACGTTTAACATTGTTTTGGTGTACCTTTCTGGATGTCAGGCAGCGGTCATTTTGCAGAGTAAATGACTGCAGTGATAGGAGGGGCAGCAGCCCAGTCTCAGTCGGGATGTGAGGATGTAGTCATCCACGTGGGCTGGCCGGGGCCCATGGCTGCGTGCTGCCTGTTGTGTTCAGGCTGTCTCTGCTCACAGAAGGATGTACTTAGCCTGATAAACTCCTGAATAATGTGTGTGAGGAAGCAGCTGTCACAGGGCAGCTTTCCTCAGAGGTATCCTGGGTATCCCAGCCCCTTTTCTTGTGTTTTGTAGGGTTGGCCATCGCCGTGATGAGCTCTTTGGCTAATATGTCATTCTTAAGTAGGTCTTAATACTATAAATGTGAGAAATACCAAGTGTGTGTTACTTAAAATTTTGTTAGAATTACTTTACCCTGGCAAAAGTGTTTTATTGATCTTTTTTTTTTTTATGCATTAGTGAATGCAACAGTACAGCAGTATCCATATTCAATAAAGAAGGGTGTCTGGAGGCTGTGCTACATTACATTAAGAAATTTTCCACGAATGTGGATCTGGCTATTTCAGTAGGTAAGTTGTAAAAAGAGGAGGTGGGATCTAAAGATTTGTTTTTTTTCTTTACTGTCTGAATGTAACACTGATGTCAAACGCACTGCATAATGAACCTGCCTTAGTGTTACTTAAACTGCACACTGGATAGAAAACTTTGAATTCCTTTCTGAACAATAAAGTGTTCAGAAATCCAAAAGGGGAATGGAGCCTCGATGGTTACACGGGTGGAAAAGGTCTGTGGAAAGAAAGTGCTTAAGGGAGGTGTATTTTTTATTTTTATTTTTTTCAGTAGATCAAAGTAAATGGTCTATCTGGAAACAAAACAAAAAAATTAAGTGGCTGCTATCACTGTGAATGCATTTTTATTAGTAGCACTGTAATTATGGTCTTATATAGTCTCAGTGGTGTCTGTGCTTGCAGCACTTTTTTTTTTTGTATTTTCCTTAATCAGTATGTGGCACAGAAATTGGATTTCATGTAGCTGAAATTGATACAAGTTCTGTGTCCGGCAGCAGTCTCCTCACTGCCCTGCCTGCAGCATGTTTGCTGAAGTATGTCTGTTAACCTCAGCCACAAATTGTGAAGGATGGTGTCATGCTGCTACAGTATGAAGCTGCATCGCGTATTTTTCCCGTGTTTAATTATTCCAACTTTTGGGAATGCAGTGCTTTCTTGTTAGGAGACTGAAATTTACTATTGGATTTGTTAATTAATTATTGCTTTTTTCCTTTGCTGCAGCAAATTGCTTACAGGCAGTGACAGAAGATAATCCAGATCTCCTTTCTTCATTCAATGCCCCTATGCAGCAAGTCTTGGAAACAGTGATGCTGTGTCCAGAGAGCACAATGAAGCACATCCTTTTGAGAACACTGATAGCAGGTAGGGTGTCTGAGGCATTCCTTCTGTTGTTCTGGGTGGCACAAGAGGTAAAGGAGGGTGGGAGGGCTGGAAGGCTTCCTCTTCTCACCTTCACATCCACTTGTGATGATGTACTGACATTAGCTGTAAGCAGTGCTTGCAGAGTTGGTTCATGAAGTTATTTCTTCCTCTTAGGATTGTGTTTGTACTGAAGTGAAATGTGGACCTACATGTCTGTAAAGAATCGTCTCAAATGCTTGATTCTGAGTTTGTTACTCTGGTCATCCACTTTAAATGTTCGTTTGCTTTTCACAAGTCAAATGAGTCAGTAATAAGTAGTACAGGAATTGTTTTGATCTTACCTCAAGTACGGGGTTTTTTTACTTCAGATTTTCTCCCTTGTTCTCTTTACCTCAACTGCTCAACCATGGTGACTTTTAGTACTGGAGTGCAATAAATGAGTTTAATTTTGAGAATCCTCAGAAATAATTATCTTGTGGATTTGAATTTTTTTTCCTAAAGGTAAAAGTGTCAACATAACTTCTTATAAATACTGTGTGCATTCTTACCTACTGGAATTTCCCTGAGCTTCAGGCGTGAATATTGGGCAGTTATTACATAGCAGTGTATGGAGTGCTAAAAAGAAAAATGCAAATATGCGGAGAAAAGACTTGTGGACTCATACAGAAATACAAGCCATAACTATTGTAACTCATGGAGGCCGTGTCTTCACAAAATATGCGGCTCTTACAGAGCTGGGATTTGACAATTTAATGCGTTTTCGTGTTTCAACATTTCATATATAGGCACCATCTGGAATATCAAGGAAACCATTCCACCAGGCAGCCTGGGAAGCATGGTTAATGCAATCCTGAAGATTTTCTCGGAATCATTAGCAATAGATGCTGGTGAAACAATTATTCGTATGAATGAAGCTGAAAAAAACAGATTAAAAGCTGCTGCAGAGGCAGAAACTGAGGAAAACATGATTGATGTTACAAACAACTGTGCTATAAGTGAAGATGATGGCATGGAAGAAATATCTAAAGGAAAAGGCAGTGGAGAGCATGACATCTCAGACCTGCTTCCAGTAAGTGTGGCTGGCTGGCTCTGGGAGCTTTGTGCCTTTGCATGGCTGTTGCTGTGTAGTTTGCCAGTAGCTGCTACAGTCACTAATCTCAACTCCCAAATGGCTTGTCTGTTTTAGTTCAGACTTCAGAGCTGAGCATGGAGAATTTCAGCACAAGTTGTTCAAATGTGGTCAAGTTGAGCAACACATAAGGAAAGCACATTTCCATTTTGTCGGCTAGTGGGAAGTGTAGGCTTATCTGACTCTTTTACCTCTAGCTAGTGCAGGAAGTCCTGAGTCCTGCGGTGTTTAATGGCTTTAAGTGTTCAGTGGAGATTGCAGAGAGATAACAAATGCATTCACTGTTCTGTTTGTGAAAAATAAAATAGAAATAAATATTTCTGCTAGGACTTTAGGTAACCTCTTAGTAATCTTTTCCATTACAACTTTAGTTCAGATGAAATTTTTAAAAGTAACATTTGATCCCTAGTAGAGATGGTCATCTGAAATATCAGTCAAAGAGATGATAGGCAGATAGATCTTAATGTTTTTTCAAAGCTTTGCTGAGGGGTAAGAAGAGGAATGGCTGGGTTGTATTTTTCACTGGCAGTCTAGATGCTGTAAATTGCACTGATGTGTTGTTTTCCAGAATTAAATTTTGCATCTTTTTTTTCTTTAGTCTGATAAATGGGAGCTGAAAGAAGTGACAGCCTTACTGATGGCTCAGCAGACTGCTCTGGAAATCATTGTTAATATGTGCTGCAGCGAAGGTTTGTAGGAATCTTCCCCTCCATTGCAAGTGGTGGCGTGGCTTTTGTTTCTGGGATAAGTCATGTTTAGTTTGCCATTTGGTGATCTTAGCCTTTTGGTGATTGCCATTTGGTGATCTCAGCCTAAGGTGCACTTGCATAGAATTGCCATTCCTGCCTGATGCCCTCATCTGGTTGAGAATCACAGTAATTAATTCTGTTACTTATTTAAGTATTTTTGTCACTTAAATAGCTTCTACTGCTTACACATTTTGCATGTTATGAGCTGTAATTCATAAGCTCTCCCCTTTAATTGGAAAATCTCTTGTAGATAAGCTGCATATTCTACCATTCGCTCAGTGTAAGGTAAAGTTGTCTGTGTTGTATTTCACTGCAGAACTTCACCCATACATGGGCAGAGAAAGCTGTAGTCAGTAGAAATTAAGAGGAATCCACAGGCAGCTGCTGATTTAATTTTCAGGTTATTTGATGACTAAAATAGCTTTTGCCATTATGCCGGCTTGATGAAAACTTTCAGTTTGCCACACAACTAAGGGAAATAGCCAGGTTGGCAAATAGGTGTTTTTTTTGACTGAGTACTGGCTGGCATCTGGGAGGAGAAACAGTACTGTCATCCCTAGCAGGCATGGAGGAAGCAGTCAGGAATCAGCATTGTTGTCCAAAGTTCACAGGTTGCCAGCCCTAGTTAGGATAGGATTGCCATAGGAAATGCTCCTGTATTTCCGAGAACATTGCAAGAAACCTGATCTTAGTTGTGGGTGATCCAGTTTCTGCTCTCTGAGCTGTGATACCGCTGCTGTAGTTTTTGTTGCTGAACTGCTAGGTCAGCTAGCACAGTGGTCATTTAATTTTCAGAGATTTTTTCTTTCTTTGCTTTAAGATACTGCTTCTAAAAAAAAACCCAAAAAAACGCTTCCATCTGCAAGAAACGTATTGAGAAGGAGGTGTCAGCTTTATTTGCATGTTTGCTCTTGCACTGGGGCAGGGCCTTGTTGGTAGAACGTGAAAGATGACGTGTTTTCTCATGCAGAAGGTAGTAACACCAGTGCATCGTAGGGGTGGAATTATCTGGGTGTTACCATAAGCAAAAGAATTTGACCATGTGATCAGGTGGTCACAGCCTAACAAGTTACTTTGCATCATGTAAACAGTAGTCATCACCATTTAAATAAAGTCTTAGAAGTTACTGAATGCAGGTGCTCAATGGAGGTGAAGTACAATAAGAGAGTAAATGAATGTATTTTAAGTGAATGACTTTACTTTTTGCCACAGAAGTGCATGGCTACCACACTAGTCTCCATAGGGACTAGATGACACATTAGTCTTTTGTCAAACAAAATGACATGAAGGTAGATATTAATATGTATAATTTTGTCACATTAGTTAAAAATCCTGACCTTTTAACAGAGGCAGAAATTTCATCCCTCAGTGAGGAGGATCATTCCTACTGGTAGACTTAGAATTTGTGTAAACACCAATTGTGCACTGGTTAAAATGTAACCAGATCTGAAACATTAGGTAGCTTACTGTAAATGGATGTGGATGTAGGAATACCGGGTTAAATGTAAGTGATGGACTTGTGCTCATCAGGCCCAGGCAACTTTTTGCCACGGACACATTATTTACTTTGTTGTAGCTGTGCCCACTGATATCCTTACTTCAACACCTCTCCCCACAGCTGTTCCCACAGAAAATATCAACCCAGTTTAACTTACATATTTGTACTTCTAATTTACTTAAAATATGTTGTCTGAAAAAGCTGTCAGAGGTTGATTTAGATTGCTTTGGCTGGCTTTGTTGTCATGATTTCCTTTTCACTAGCTTTCTGTCCTTCATCCAACCCCATTAGTGCCCAGTTAGAAGAGGTCTCTGTGACTTAAGCATTCTTAGAACAGTTGCCTTAATCTGATTACAGATATTACAAGGGTTAAACTAATGTGTGTGCATGGTTGAATCTATCTCAAAAAGCAAATTGGTACAGTCCAAGTTAAAATCTTAGTAAATGTTTAATGTTTCTCAAGAAATGCTTCTTTTTTGCCTTATCTGATATCTTTAGGTAAAGCATAGTTAACACCTGAGGATGAGGTGTCTGTGTTTGGAGAATCTCCTTCATAAGAGTAAATGTTCCATGAGTGAATATAAAATAAATAATTTTTTTAGTGTGACAGTTTAAACAAAAGTGGTACCACGTTTATAACTGTGGCTTAATGGTTCTTGGGCTACGTGGATTTCATTAGGGCACTGGAACTTAAGACTTAAACCAAGAACTGGAGCCAGGTATAATTCAGTAGTGGGGTCACATTTACAAATTTTTCTTCTGCTTTCAGATCCCTCTGATGATGAGTGGGAAGAGCTCTCCAGCAGTGATGAAAGTGACCTGTTTATGGAAAACTCATACAGTGAGGGCAGTGGGCTGCTGATGTCACCCCTGTGCCTCTCTGCTGAGGTTCACTCAGCATTTCTGAACAACCTCATTCCAAAGAAGGTATTTTCTTTTGTTTCCAATATGTGCTACGTTCTCTCATTTGTTTCCAATTTCTCTCCTAAGTTAGGCAAACTAATCTCTCCACTCTACTTGGAGAAGATGAAATTCATTTAAAGACAGTTTAGCTTTTTTGTTATTTTGGTTTTTGTTTTCTCCTGGAGATGTAGCAGCATTTCATGGGTTGTCTTTGTCTGAATAATGTAAGTTGGAATAGAAGATTCTTTCAGAACCTTTGTGCTTTGTTGTTTCTTGCTTGGTTTTTGGCCATTTTGTTGTGTTATAATTAATTTGGCTTTTTCAAAATACAAAGGTTATTTCTTGTTTTGGTTGTGAAAGAGATGACCTGCAAAAAGAAAGGGAAGCTTAATTAGAAGCTTGGCTGCCAAATGTTCATGTTAGCTGAGGGAACTGGAAGTAACCTGTGTGAATGACAATAGTCAGCACTGAAAAAATGCACGTTCTGCTTTTACCCTATGCTGTCTGAAGTGCAATATCTGACACTGACAAAAATTAAATTGTTCTTGTTCCAGAATTGTTTTGGTCATTGCTGTATAGGGTTGTAAATAGAAAATCCCTGATCTCAACCCAATTATTAGTGTGATTCAGCATTCACTTGAGGTGAAAACTTTCAGGGCTTTTTGTACTCAGTAGCAGGCAGTGTAAGCTTCATGTTAAGGTACTTTAAATTTGCAGTCATCTGAGAATTCTGTAACAGAGTTTGTGAGTAGAGAGATTTAAAAAAATGAAAAAGAATAGTAGAGATCTAGAAGATCACCTGATGCACAGTACAGTTAGATACTTAAGAAAAGCTGTGCTAAACCTGTGTTTGATTGCTCGTTTTTGAGTGACTGAGGAAGATTCTAGCATTTTCAGCATGTGAGTGCTTGTTACCCTCAAAGCTTTGAGGACAGTCAAGTTTACATTTACATACATTACATTTACATACATACATTACATTTACTTGAGGTATCTGTTTGATATTAAGCTGAAAATTCAATCTTCCCATCCCCATGCTGTAGAGAAGAAAAACAAAAGCTTTCTTGCTAAACATTTCTTTTTCCCCTCCCCAGATTCTTGAAAAAACTGCTTTTCCGAACAGTGTTGCTCTAGACATCTGTATGCACAATCCGTCTTGGAAACCGTTAATTAAAAAGTAGGAATTTCATTGTCTCTCTTACTACTTTTCATATATGCTCAGTTTTAGAGCTCTTAGAAGGACTGTTCATCTTTGGGTTACTTGTAAGATCTGGAAAATGGCAGATCTGATGCTTCATTTTCAATGAAGAGATGCAGATCTTTGGGTAAACTGCACACCAGATCACATCCTTACTTAATTCAAGATCCTTCTCTGCATTTCTGCATTTATTTACAAAGGTCTGCTAAGTGCACTTTTGTTTTCGTTTCAGACTGAACACAGTGCAGTGTAGAGCTTTAACCTGTCTTCATAGCATTTTGTTGGTGTCAGATGTGGATTGCCTTGGAGGAGCCTCAGCACTTCAGTCACTTGCACAACATCTCTCACAGCTGATCTTTTCTAAAACAGGTAAGGTGCTTAGAGGCTTGCTGGCCTATCATATAGGTCTAAAGTAGCCACTATGCACATTAGGTTTTATTGCCATTTTATTAATAATTGCATTGCATTAATCTTTCAAAATAAGATACTGAGTATCAGAAACATGCTGACAGAGCAGTGTACAGTGGTATAGTGTGTTTACTCAAATTGAATCTTGAGCAATTACACTTCTAATGCAAGACTGCATTATGTCTATGTGTGCAAGAAGAAAATCACTAAGTTAGCGGATGAATCTTCCCTTGCTGTGAGACCAAAACTGTTTGCTTGAATATATTAGTGATAATAGCAGTTGTTCATCAATCTGCTGTGTCATGTCCCTTTCAATGTGGAAACGCTCATGGGGGGGAAGAGTATCCAGGACAGTCTGTCACATCACTTTTTCGAGGAATTTTTTGAAATAATGGTGAAAGTGGCTGTCGCAAAGATCTCCAGAATGCATGTGCATACTGCAGTAGGAAAGATGGCAGCCTTCTTGTCTCCAGGACATGCGTTATGCATGTGATTGCACAGCTTTATTGGAAACATTTTGATAGTAAGGAAATGTGCGTAAGATGACGACTTCATGTTATGATGCTGGTTCAGTTTGAATGGAGAAGTCAATAAACTGGATAATTTAGTTTTGCTAAAAATGATGCTGGTTTAGAATATCAAATATATCCTGGTGAATACTATCATGTATCCACTGCAATTCATCCAAGACACGTTATTTCGTAGAGATACTGTGATGGTTTCCCTGTAGATCTGCTAGTATCCACACTGGATAGCCTAGTGCAGGTACATGGCAGTTAGCATTTCCAGCTACCTCTTGCAGTCCCTTAGATCAGATCATAGTCATTCACGTAGTACTGCTGGACCACTTACTATATGATTTCTGTTACTAATAGTAGAGAAGCTGAACCAAGACTTTAAATAAACAACTGGTTCCAACTCAGTGATCTGGTTCCCTGGTAAGCTGCTTCATTCAAACTGTTCTACTAATGTGTTTTTAAGGTCAGTGATATGGCTCCTCAGTAAATCAGAGATATTCCTGGAGACTGAAGGAACCTGCCAAATCTCAAAACTGACAGAAAATGTATTTCCTAAGATGGATCTGAAGTCTAGCATAGGCATAGCCTTTGTCATTTCTTGTCTTTTAAAAGCTTGATCAGTTTTCCTCCCTTCCTTCAAGTGACTTCATTTGTAACCACAAATATGGTGCATGCAGTCCTTATTTGTTGTGTAGTATGATGCTGCAATGTTGTTTGAGGATGCATCTGCCTGCAAAACACACTTTTTTTTTCTTCTAAATGTCATACTAAAATATTTTTAAATGTCATATTAAAAGCATGTGATATGATTACAATGCTTGAAAAAAACCAAAATGCAGGAAATGAAAATAAATGTAAAACATAAGCAAGATTTCACATTATAGTTGGAATAGTCAGGACGTTCTTAAGTGAAACTGGAGAAATGACAAGCTGAAGACAGAGGGTCTGCAATTAGTTTAAATATTTTGTTAGTAATTAGATGCTAACTAATGGAAGCTGTTAGTCACCAAGTGCTTAGAAGGAATTTTGTGGTTTACAAGTTGAAGAAAGGAAATAAGGATCGAGTTGCTTAGGTGGGAGAGGTGGAGATGCATATTAAGTTAGCAAGAGTTTCTGCTTCTGGAATAGTCCAGAAGATTGCAACACCCTAATGAAAAAATAAAAAGCTTTGAAGAAGCAGAATGTGCACTGAAGGTGATGGCTCCTACTGATGAATTTGTAGTTAACAGGAATAATGCACTGTTTGATTTGTACATTTCTGAAAGGTTGTTAAACCACTGGAAAGCATGCTCTTTACATGAGTTGGAAAGAGCCCAGTGTTCTGAGTGTCTAAAAAAGCCTATTTAGAAGAAAGGAGTTTTAAAGAACTCAGTCAGCTTTTGTAATTTTCTCAGTTCCTGTAATATGGCCACGTGACACATGGTTTTCAGGCTTCTATTCTGACTGTGGTGTCAGAACAGTCTTAACAAGCATCTTAATCAGGATGTCCTGAAACACACTCTGCACCTTCAGTAAGGGTGTGGGTGACACCAAGCTGACCTGCCCAAGGGGTGGGATGCCATCAGAGAAACCTGGATAGACTCCAGCAGTGGGTCCAAGTAAACCCCACGAGGTTCAACAAACCCAAGTGCAAGGTCTTGCACCTGAGTCACAGCAGCCCCTGTACAGTACAGGCTGGAGGGTGGAAGGGTGGAACACGGTCCTGCGGAAAAGGACTTGGGTGGATGTCAAGCGGGATGTGAGCCAGCAATGTTCCCTTACAGGCCAGAAAGCCAACTGTATCCTGGGCTGCATCAAAAGAAGAGTGGCCAGCAGGGCACGGGAGGTGATCCTGCCCCCCTGCTCTGCACAAGTTTTAGATTTGATACAAGAAGAATGTTTTTAAGAGAAGAGTGAAGCACTGGCACAGGTTGCCCAGGGAAGTGGTGGGTGCTCCATCGCTGGGGACACTCAGGGTTGGAATGCATGGGGCTCTGAGCACCTCATGGAGCTGTAGGTATCCCTGTAATTGCAGGGGAGTTGGACTAGATGGCCTTTGAGGGTTCCTTCACACAAACAATTCTGTGAAAATAAGTGCCATGGAAGAACAATATATCTGATTTTCAGATAGAATTACCATTGAATTTAAAAAATCACTGTGGTTGCAACTACAAAGATCAGTTACTGAAAATCTAGTTTTTCCTGGTTTTGGTAGTACCTGAAGGAAAAAGTTAAGGATTAGGGAATTCATGCATTTTGTATCCTTATCTGCTCATTTAACTTTTGGCTTTGGGTGCAACTCTTTAACAGAACTCCCTGAAGATGCAGAATTCTTGGAAGCCATAACCAGTGCTTTGAGGGCTCTCTTACAAACAATGGCATCGAAGAACATATCCCAGGTAAGAGGTATCAAGCTCAAATGTTCCAGTAGGTTCATAGATATTACAGGAATGCTTTGTTATATAAACAGGTGAAATGTTTAAAAATTAAAATAGCAATAAAAACTTTGGGTGAGATGGTTAGAATGACAAGTACATTATCTGCTAACACCACCTGGACATATGGATTCTTTATTTCCTGATGTCACCCAGTTGAAGCTGGTCTTTCTAGAATGTTTGTTGGACTTGAATTAAATATCCAGCATTGGGCATGAGCTAAATATAGAAATGAAGCCTAGTGATTTGTTATACAAGATGTAATACTAGGTGGGCTGCTGGTCCTTTCTGGCTATAAACTGACATACGAGCTTCTATAAGTTGTAACGAGCTGGATAGCTAATGAGCTGCGTAGATTTGTGAAAATCCCTTTTGGCTCAGAACTTTTTTCCTTCAGCTTCATAAAGCTTTAGTTAAGTTCTGAAAGAAACACCTTATGAATTTGAAAGGGAAAGTTTAACTGTTCTCTTACTGATTAGACTTCCAAGAATCCATGTACCCTTCATAATATAGGAATTTCTGTTTTACTATTGCAGATTTGCCTGAGTGTTGTGTAGAAGCACATTACTTACATTTCATATTTTAAAGTTTCTCTGGAAATGTTAATACATATTTCTTTTTTTTTCCTTTCCTTCTTCTCCCTTGCTGATCAGTGTATGACTGCTGAGCAGCTCCTGGCTTTATGTGAAGCAAGTATTCACAGCAGCAATGCCAGTGTGAGAGTGAACGTAGTGAGCATCCTTGGAATTTCTGGCAGCGTCTTGGCCAAAGCAGAGGATACAGCTGAAACACTAGAGGTGAGAAAGCCTTTGTGTGGCAAGCCTGAAGCTTTGATACTTGTAAAAATTTTCTTATGCAGCGTTTGAAAACTCAATTTTTCTTTCTTGTATTTAGATGATCGGAAAATTTCTTCTTGAGGTGGCTATGAAGGAGTCTTCTCTTGTGGTAGCAGGGGAAGCCTTGGATGCCCTTTTTGATGTATTTGCAGATGGTAAAGAAGCAGAAAAAGCAGCAGTGCAGATGAAGTTGCTTCCAGCACTGAAAGAATTTCAACCAGTGTTCAAAATGAGGGTAGGCATCAGATGCAGCCAGCTTGGTGTCTCAGCTTGCTGCGTGGGTTCAGGTTTGTGATTTAGGCTGCTAGGAGAGATAATTAAGCAGAAGTGTGTGACTTTATGAGATGATGGGGAAAAAAACGAAAGCAAATAATTAAATTCATGCTATTCTGCTTTAGAGAAACCAAATGCACTCACCTTGCAGTTTACAGAATCATTAAGGTAACAGCATTGCATTGCAACATCTATGATGTGCAAATGATTATTTTTTTCTGAAACTCTTGTGAAAATAATCCTTCAGATGTCTCTGGAAGAGAGCAGCTACTTTGTTGGGAAGGAGAAGTCCCTTCAGAATTTACATTCACATCTTCTGGTTTTAACTTGCAGTAGTTGCATGTGGATTTTTGTTCTGTTGTTGGTTAATTATCCTGTATTTCCAAGAACTGTACAGCTAAAATCGTATGCTGTAATTTTAAGTGTAGCTTTGACTTAAATAGAGAATGGCTTTCAGTGCATTATTTCCTAGTTGGACGAAGTCTGAGGAGTAACTTTCATAGTCCTATTACTAAGCACGTATGGATATTTGTCAGGACTACAGTCATTTGATCAGTTAGCTGTGTAAGATCTTTAATATGAAAAGCAGTTAGTAAGTGCATGTTTTAGATTTAGGAGTGAAATAGGATCCAATTGTAGCCTAGTTTTAAGCAGAAATGTAGTGGAGTGAAGTGACTTGCAGAAATATTTGCTAGTGGTGAATGTGCACACATGAGCGCGTTGGTGTTGTCAGAACACATGCACAGCATGGCTTGTTACAGAACCTCTAAATGTTACCAGCTTCTGGGGACCTAATAGGAAAAGCTTCTCCATTAATGAAAGTATGTGTTTTTTGGTTTTTCAGATACGAAAAGAAGGCAAGGGACAATATAGTACAGATCAGCTTTGTGTTCTTGACAACGTGAAGATGAATTTGAGAAGATTCATTGCATATCAGGAGACATTAGGCAAAAACCCTACTTGAAACATCGAGGAACTTTAAGGTTTCTTTATCGAAAAATGTTTTCCAAAAATATACTAAAATGTATTGAGAAAAGCAGTTTTGCTTTCATGTTAATATTAGGATTTTTAATGTTCAGTATTTTATACTTCTGGGATGATGCAATGTGGAGGTCACATCAGCATAAAAATGCACAGCATATTTTGAGTTCAAATGTTAGCAGTGATGAGAAGTGCTCTTGCAGTCCTGCAGCAAAAAGCACCACTGTCATTGTGAGAAATCTTCACGTATCCTGGCAGAAAACTACAATTGCATGACAAAGTAATTTAAGGAATATTTTCAGTTATGTGCCAGATTAAGGCAGGGAGGCTTAAAGTATTCTGAGGGAATTAAGCAGTGATGGGATGTTGGTGTTTGCTGTTTGCCTTTACCTGTTTGTAGCTTTGCACAGGCACTTATGGCAAGCTTCCCAAGGAAACTGTGTGATAAGTGTGTAGATTACTTTCAGCACTTGGACCTGTTACTTCTTGAGGCTTGGAGGGAATGTTTCATGTCATGAGTCACGGAGGGAACTGTTTCAGATTCATTTACGACAAATTTGGTATTTTGGCTTTTTACTGTAGAAATCAGTCTTGAAAGGATGCTGCTCCATCTTTGTGATTTGATGGCTATTTCTGAGAATCAAGTCTCCCAGTTTACATTCTTCCTTGTAATTCTGCATCTGGGTGAATTTGATTTCAGCAAAGTAATGAACCTAATAAAATATTTTTATACTGAAGTATTATCTAGAGTAATTTTGCATTTACTGAAACTCTTTTAAAATATTTCTGATAGAGATTTTTAAGCTGTACGATACTGAAACTATTTTCAAAAACTGTCATGGATTCATGAAGGTTTTATATGTACTTCCATGTATCAAAAGCTGTGGTTTTGTTTCTGTGTACAGGATACCCTCAGACACTTCTTTTTCTATCTACTTTTTTAAGAAAAGCATTTTGTTGTGCTGATTTTTGAAAAGGGACTTTTTATCCCTCCTCCACCATTAGCATAACCATCTAGATTTTGACAGAATTTTCCCCATGGTGTTAAGCAAGGAACTGCAAAGACAAAATTTGCTCAGCTTGTTAGACTTCAGTCTGTGAGGCTGGAAAGCAGGCTCTGGAGCTGGATGGATAACTTGAAAATTGATTTTACAGAATTCTGACACACGATATTTGGCCAAGTGCAAGCAAGAGGATGTGAGAAATGAGTTTTAAGCAGCTGCACTGCCAGAAAGTCACATTGTTGCTATTTCTTTTCAGAAGTTCAATTAATGTGTGATGTGATGCCTGCTAATGAAACGAGTGAGGGTGTGTGGACAACTGGGGAGTATCTAGGGCAGTTGGCCTGGCCTTTAGAAGTTCAGGAGAAGTCCTGAGGAAGTGGAGCCGTTGTACAAGTTGTCCTGGGGGTTGGCAGGGCTGGAATGTAGCAGCTGGGTGGATTAGGGGGTAGGGCTGCGCAGTGTGGATTTTAATCTCAGTGTTAATAATATGTGCTGTATGCTGAGGATAAGTATAATTTTAGCCCGATAAAGGGCATTAATAATAGTTTGAAGCATTTTAAAAGAAAAACTTTCATGCCTTCATTTTGAAGGTGCTCCATTGAATTGCTGGTTGATCGTGATTGAAAGGCTCTCTGGGGGTCCTCAGGTCCATCCCTGTGCTCGAGGCAAGGCTTTGTCTAGGGTCTGATAGGTCGTGCTCAAAGGGGTGAAAATCTCCAGGGGTGAAAATCTCACAGCTGTGGGGGGACCTTTCCTTTGCTTGACTGTCCTAATTAAAAACACTCCCCCACCTCTGCCACTTACCTAATAGGAACTCCCTGTGCCACAAAGCGGGCCTCTTGTCCTTTGGGTGCCACCAAGAGGTGTCTGGCTCCATGTTCCCTTCAGTCCCCATTTTGTAGCTGAAAATAGGAATTGTATTGCCCTTTTCTCCAGGCTGAGCAGACCTGGCTCCCTCAGTCTCCAGCCATCTTGGTGGCCTTTGCAGCCTCGCCTGCCCCAGTGTGTCTTGTGCTAGGGGCCCAAAGCTGTGCGCAGTACTGCCAGTGTGATTTCATGAGTGCTGAGAGAAGTCATTTTCTGCATCTGCTGGCCATGCTCCTGTCAATACTGTGCAGTATTCATTAGCCTTCACTTGCTGTGAGGTTGCACTGCTGACTTATCATCAGTTTGTCCGCTGTGACCCTGAGGTCCTTCTCTGCAGAGCTGCTCTCATTCAGTCAGGTGCATGCTTGGTTTTTGGGACTGCTCTGTTCCAAGTATAGGACTTCACATCTTGCCTCAAGTAGGGCAGTCGGACCCTGCTTCCTGGAGACTGTTAGAACAATTACGTGTGTGTGGAGCAGGGGTTGTTACTAATGAGAATAAAATGTTTTCTCTTAAAATACAAATCTGAAAGTTGCAGATAAAGGTCTCTGCCAGAAAGCCTATTTTTTATTATAACCTGTCATACCCCATTTTTTTCCTGATAATGAAAGCACAGAATGTCATTTACATCTGAAGCTATTCCTGCAGTAGGAATTATTTTCTTTTGTTTGTTTTTGCTGTGCACTAATCAGTTAGGTGTCTTTAGAAAATCTTCCTTTTATTCACTATAAAGTAAGTTCACAGTATAGATTGTATCGTTTGTAGATGTGTATGATTTAGTGCACGCAATATTTGCTTCTTTTGATATACTTTGGTATGCAGGTACTGAGGACATACGAAGACAGTTTCATGTGAGTTTGTACTAAAACTCAGATGTATAAAAGCTGAAATAGTCCCTTGTCGGCTTTGTTTCACCTGAGCAGATTGAAGCATTTCAGTGGGGCTATTGGGCTGAGGGTATGAAAAAAGGGGCAAGCTGGCTCTTCTGTCTGCTGCTCCTCAGGTAGGTTCCCTTTGGTAGAGGGGGAAGCTGTAGCTCTTAGGAGGGCTTTGTTGTTGTTTTCTTGGCTCATTGCTCATTTTAAGGAAACTTCTGTAAGTGATTTCTTGGCAACCGGTGTTGTATGGTCACGAGCAGCCTATTGCCATGATCATGGTACATAGCAAAATGGAGCCAGTATCTTCCTGCATATTTTGATGTCCACACTTTCATTTCTCGGTTGAATTAGGAAAATCTCACTGTATTACCTGCCTAACTCCTAGTGTAGTGTAACTTGCTCTTGGTTTCTAATGGATTGCTTATGAGTGAATATGAGGGAGTAATTTTTTTATGTTCTACCTGTAAGGGGTGAGATAGCAGATAATATGACAAGTATGGAAGACAATGAAAAGGCAAATTGTCTGTGATTGAAAGAAGTGTCAGATCATGGCCTAATAAGAGAAGAGATTTATAGGTACAGAAAAGCTCAGCTGTAGGGTTTGGGCTATAAAAGTTGTTCTAACACAATTGAGGAAAATTACGGCAGTGGAAGAAAAAGATGATGTGGCTCAAGTTAAACGCTTGATGGGCTCTTCTGGCACTGATTTATTTGAGTAGTTTTAGAGTAAGTGAGACAGAGAGGTTGACAGCATTGAAAGACAAAGGTCTTGGAGCACTTCAAGGGTGAGAAATAGTGCCCTGGTCTAGTCAGTGTGCAGTCTAAGCAAGCAGATGCTAAAGAGATGTAAGGGATCTTCATCAGTTCATTTAATCACGCAGATAAGACTGTTATCAGAGCAGGTATCTTAAACCGAATTTGTTTGCTTATCCTCGTCCCTAGAGCGTCTGTCTATGCTGCAATTTAAAAACTGCTAGTCTGAGGTATGAAGTACAGTAAAGGAAGAGGGGCTGTTGGCCCCTTCCTGCTCAGAAGTGGTGAGATGGATGGTGGTGGCTGCTGCTTTGGCCTCTGCAGCCTGCAAACATTGACTCCACAGCTGCATAGATAAGGAATTTATCATTGCTACATGGCTTGTTTTTAACTCCTTATGAAGATAAACAAGTGGAAAGATTTAAATAAGTATTTGTTGTGACACAGCATTCAGATGTCTGTTACATGCCACGTTATGGTTAATTATTAACTACTCAAGGTTTGTGCTGTATGTTGAGGGTATTTTTTGTGATACGTTTTAAGGATCTTCTCTGTAGAGGAACAAGAATACTTCTTGCCAGTACTACTTGCCTTGGTTCTACATGTGTATTTTGAATGTGGGGAAAAAAAATCAGAGCACAGTAAAGTTACAAAATGAGAACTGTAATCTGAGAACAAATTAATTTAAAATCAGTTTGTAGCTTAAGTATTATAAATGAAACGCATATCTCATGGAATAGTAACATGGAACAACCAACCAAAAATGCTTATAAACTCAAGTTCTGTTTCCTTAATAAGTAATTTTCAGTAAAAGCATTCCCAGAGGTCTGGAAAGAATTGTCTAGCCTTACATTTACTGTTGCAAATTCAAATTCAGGCAGTGGTAATTGTAATTGAAAATAACATAATGGTTCTTTTTTGGCACAGATGAATTGAGCAGACAGTCTATATATAGTTTCACTGGATGTGCTCTTAAAATACGTAACACAAAGATAATTGGCAAAAACTGAGAACTCGGACAGTGGCAGCAGAGGAAGGAATTTGAAGTTTTCCAAAAGGGCTGAAGTGCTGTGCGTGGAGGAGCTCTTACTGAGCGCTGCAGAGTTCTTGTCTGTTCTCCAAATCAATTCAGACTGTTCAACTTCTGTACCTTCTAGGAAGAATAACACGTGTTTAAATCACTCTAAGTTCATTTTGTTTCGGTATTATTTTCCTAAGTTCCTTGTTTCTGTGAGAGTCACAGACATAATGTTCTGTCAGACATAATTTAGTGACCACATAAACACAGCTTGAGACTTGCACACAGAACATGAGAAACATTTTTTTCTTTCAAATCCCAGTGTCCTCACACTGCTGCTATATTAAGAACTTAAATCAGAATGCAGTGAGCTGAAATAAGGCATCGCTGCAACAGTCTGTGCTGTTGGAAGTGTTGTGGCTGCTGCATGGCTGTCGGCACATAGGAGGGTCCTGGTGCAGCCCCAGCATTGGGAGAGGCCCTGAGTGGTCGTGTCAATGCCTCTACCACTTCTAAAGCTGTGCTGGGACTCGATGTATGTTCTCTAGGCTCTGTGCTCCTTTTTGTGACAAAGGCCTCATCTGGGATTGTTTCCTTTTTCTTCTGGTGTGATTTTTTTTTTTTTTTACCTGTAAGGGAAATGGTCTTCGTCTTTTCCCACCCCCACTGCTGATGGAGAGTAAAGGGCACTTCAAGAATCTAACTGTGGAATGGCTGATAGCTAGAAACTGTGTGGTGTTTCTAAATAGCCTTTTTTCTGAGGAATTGCCTTTTTAGTAAGGAAAAGCTAAAGTTCAAAGTCGTGACTAAAAAAGTCATGTCAACTGTATTCAAGCTTGGCAGCTTTTTGCCTCTCTTTCCTAAAACTCAAGCTTGCACCCTGATCTCATGTGCCTGTGGTATCACGCTGTTTTCCAAGACCAGATATTTTGTGACTGTTATCTCCTTAATGGTAACTTGAGTTTTTGTTACTGATGC